AAGCATTTGATAAGGTCCCACACGTCCCGCTGCTCCACAAACACGAGTCTTACGGGATTCAAGGGAAAATCCTTCGCTGGATCAAGGCGTTCCTATCAGACAGGTCATTCAGAGTGAGAATAGGCTCAACTTATTCCTCTCCAGCGCCGGTCTCCATTGGAGTTCCTCAAGGCTCCGTCTTGGGACCACTCCTGTTTCTGATCTACGTCAACGACCTCCCAGACGTTCTTGCGAGTCCATGTTTACTTTTTGCGGACGACTTGAAATCCTGGAGTTCCAATGCCAGCGCCCTCCAAATGGATGTAGACGCTGCCAAGCAGTGGTCGTTGGACTGGCACCTTCCTCTGAATGATGAAAAGTGCGTCCATGTGTCGTTTGGAGGGGATTCAGCGAATGCCTTTGTTATGCATGGTGAAAAGGGACCAGAAAACATCATGAGGATAGATGCCAAAAAAGATTTAGGCATCTGGGTCTCCTCAAACTTGTCCTTCGCACTACACCATGAGAAATCGGCCCAAAAGGCATTCGCCGTTTTACGGATGATCCGACGTACCTTCTCCCGTATTACTCGCATGGACTTCCAAATACTCTATGGGGCCTACGTCAGACCGCTCCTGGAGTACGCCAACCAAGTTGTCTACTCAGGACGTACGAAAGACGTTACCCTCATTGAGCGTGTCCAGCGGGCCGCCACGAGAATGGTTGCCGGCCTCAAGTCCGTGGACTACGAAACGCGTCTCGTGACGCTTGATCTCTTTCCCCTGGAGTGCCGTCGCCTCCGAGGGGACCTAATTCTTACCTACGCCCTGTTTGAACAAAGCTTGGCAAACAGGTTTTTTACCGTTTACCCAGCAAACACCCGGCGGGGACATAGTAAGAAAATCTTCAAGCTCAGGGCACACACATCCGTTAGACAAAACTTTTTTTCATTTCGGGTAGTAGCTGCGTGGAATGACCTTCCTCCGACGGTTGTGCACGCTCCTTCTCGAACCCAATTTAAAGCACTATTAGACATTTGTTAATGCGAATTTTCGCGCTGGCGAGGATACTGCCCCGCGCTGAGAACATAAAGAGCAGTGCTACACCCTTTTTTCACTTGTGCCTTTCAGGTGAACGACAGCCACTGACCGACAAGAACAAAACCGACCCGGGAAACTTGGGCAAAAGCCTCGATCCCGTGTATCAATCCGTGAATCTTGCAAACTGATTATAAAATGCGGACCTGCGACTTTGACATTTCGCTCGCTTGAAAAAATTCTGTCGCCAAGATATCACCGTAAGTTGCAAACGGATTTGCCTAACTTCCCGCAAAAGTCGCAACTTTGAAAACCTTAGTTTCGGGAAAAATAATTTGCTTATGCTTCCGGTGCGCGGCCACCCAAATAGTGAAGTTGCACTTTAGCATATTTTGGCACCCTTCTGTGTTCTCTGAGAATAAGGCATCATCTACAGAATGTCCAGCGCAATTTTTTTCCCGTGAAAAACCATCAGTCACGTTCGTTTTGTTAAGACTCCTGAGATTTAACACATGGAGTGAGTTCATTTAGCGCACTTTGGAACAACATATTTCCTGTGGAGCTCGCCTTCCATTAAGTATAAGAGTGTTACACAACTGCATGCACTGTACTGTACAGTGGTGGTGGGGGGCTATTTCTCTGGATGATCCCGTTTACCGGATATGCAATCCTAACTTGTGGATAATGCAGCGTTGCACGATAACCGTGACAACATAAGATCATACATAGTAGGACTATGGCGCTCTATAGACAGAATACACCATAAAGTACAGATAGAATGATGATGACTAAGGGCATCTGTTACCGGTCGCCATGGTACTAGTGACCGTTGCCACTCACTTCGACTACGTATGGTGACTGCGAGGCCCGTGTCTATGTAGACACTGATTATGAGGCCTGATCTATACCCCGTAGACTAACCTAATTGCCAACGATGGCCTTTCAGACTCATGACCGTACACGTGCTCACTAACCTTTGAGTATATCTTAAGCACCACCCTACTCAGTGAGCGTTTTCACCGACACGAACCCGTATAAATTGACGAAAACACCTCTGGCTAATTGCGTTCTTATTTGTTGTATGCGCCAGCACAAGCGTAATGGGTATCTATCTATCTTGTGTATTCCGACTTCACGGGACAGGAATGTAAAATGTGTAGTCAATTGAATGTCGTTTATTTGTTTGATAACCGTACTATAACATTATAATTTAAAGTTGTTCGATATGCCAGGAAATAGCTGCTTAAAACGGGTAAAACCTTTTCACAGCGCTGAGTAGGGGTCAGAGAATTCGAGAGCGTCAATCGACAGTATGAACAGAACTGCTGCGGGAGTGCCGCGAGGCTGGGTATGGTGGTGCTGTAACTTGATCGCATTGGCACCCTGGATAGTACTGCAGCGGAGGGTGAGATCTGAGAGGGAAAGCCCAATTCTGTTAATGCTTGGGCGTGGATCATACACAGGTCGAACCAAGTCGTTGTAGAGTTAAAGGTTACTTAACCCCCGTCGGGGGTACATGTGGACATAAAATGGATACTAGGTTGGGGAGAGTGACTGTTAGAGGCATCCGAAGCAACTACTGCCGAAGACCAAGGCATTCACCAATTCGCGCGGAAGAGAACCATACGGACAACATGTTTTGCGCGAATATGCCGTCGTCCAGCTGAGGATGATGGGCAGCCTAAGTTTGCCAACCGTCTTACGAGGATTAGATGCCGAACAAATGGGGAAAAGAAACCCCTATAGTATGAAAGTCCGATGGTTACCTTGGAAGTTATTGCCTGGTCAGTCTTAGGAACGTTCATGCGCAAGCACGTGAACGTGGAAAAACAGGACGGTTATTTACAGGCAGCACGTGTTGCTCCACAGGTTCAGTGGCCAAAGGATTCCATCAAAACTTCTCGACGCCACTAGAGGCGTGGACTTGGTGCACATGGCATAGGAGGGAAACAGTCTTGATCTAACTGACCAGCTGCTCCGGGTTAAAACGGTGAGAAGGGTATTACCTCGATGAGTGAGCCCTTCTACGGATCGAGAAGTTTGCGGAGAACTAAAATTTCATACCCCGTTTGGAGTGTCTTGTGGGGTTTATACGCTGGCCAGTGTGCACCCTATCCACGAAACACATACCCAAATCTTGGGCCATTTCTCATCTACTTTGTCATTCCCAGGGTCGCTTTGCAATGATTCAGTCCCAGAAAGTCCTTACATTATTACCACATAATCCGGCTTCTGATACAGCTCCGACCGACGAGCCTTGAAGTGCAAAATTTGGACCATTTTACAGGTTTTAACAACTCCAGGGTGAATCTAATTGAAGTCATTATCAACGAACAAAATGCTGTTAACATTCAGTATCGTCCAATTGAGTCTATTTTTTCACATACACAGAGTCTGTTCGTCTTCTACCAGTGAATCGGCGACCTGCTGGATGACAGTGTATTCACTTTTGTAAAACCGCACACTTTCTAACGCACCCTCACCCCTTGTTCACTGCTGTTTGAGTCCCAAGGTTGGCCTACATGAAAGCTGATGAGATGTGTAATCTTTTAAAACGAGGTTAGTTGTGAACCACACATCTTCCAGCTGGAGCGATGCTCTTACTTAGTGCTATTCATCAACAAGTCATAAGTTGAAAACCGGAAATTGGCTCCGTTGCCGGGACAACTGGTGACGCAGCTGGAGTTTCCGGATTCATAATCTAGAGGAGTAGTGACGCTCATTGTTGAACTTTATGTTTTTGTCGTGCTCTATCTTTTCACTCCGCACTTTGGTTTACTTGATCCCTCCGAAACCCGTCTACTGAGAATGGGTGAACTGGAAACTGATCGTCTGTTGCCGGCACTTTTCAAACATGAACGCTACGTTTGA